GAAATCACATTGACAACCTCTACTCTTGTCCTAGCTGGTGTGATTATTGTAAGGATTTGAAGAGAACGTGGCACATCATATTAGTGTTGGTTGGATGAAAATTCACACTATATTGTTGGCCGCGATCCATGAGATTATTGTTTATTTGAGATTGTTAAGCCAGTTATATTCCTTGGAAAATATTTCAGGTGGTGTCATGACATTGGTCGTGAGCAGGCTGCAAATAAGCCTCTCTTAAAAACTGTATTCCAGGTAACTCTTGCACCCGTTCTCTTCTAGCATATAATTTGGATGCAAAATTTTTACTGATTTATAATTATGATGAACAGGTCATGATGAGATTATTTAGTCCACGTAAAACAACTTTGATGTTTGTTATACGTGATAAAACAAGGGTATGCCCAACCTATTCCTTTCTCATTTGACGTTTCCTTTAATTGTACTTCAGAAACTTAAATTCTTCGGTCATATGGTTCCATGAATTAAGGATTTGTTATGCTGGAGCATTTTTGTTTTTTGTTGACATGTTATAGACGCCTTTGGAAAACCTGGAACCTGTTTTAAGAGAAGACATTCAGAAGGTACATCATATGTGGTATTTTACTGTATTATGAACGAGTCCAACTGTAGTTGGCTTCTGAGCTTCTTTTATTCTCTCTCTCCTTCCTCTACCCCCACTTTTGAAGATATGGGATGCAGTTCCTAAGCCAAGTGCGCACATGGAAACTCCATTAAGCGAATTCTTTAATGTAAGATGCTGATATCTTGTTGATTAAGCTTGGTTAAGATCATGTTTGGTTAGTTTAAAAAGTGCTTTTTGAGCTCTAGCTATTTTCACAAAAAGGTGCTTTAAGCACCTTCTAAGCTTAGCTAAATATTCTCCAAGTCCGTGTTCTGTTCTATCTGATATTTTTCTAATGGATGAATTGCAGGTCGAAGTTACAGCTCTTTCTAGTTATGAAGAGAGGGAGGAACAATTCAAAGAACAGGTTAATACCATGTTCGAATACTTTTAAGTGATTTTTATGTTTGTTCACGTGAATGCTCTGGCTTCGTTCTTTT